TCTCTGGGCAGACATCTGAACCCCGAACGCACGTGAAACAACGATAACACTTTGAATGCGGGTTCCATTCCTGCAATTGCTGCATACACTGAGTACAAATCCGCCTCATAAACTGAGAAGACAATACCGGCGGTGAGCCTCTGGCGTTGCCAGTGCATCAGTCCATTTCTAAATACATTAAAAGTAAAAGACGACATGCATGAGGGAAAAGAATTACAGTTGTAAAAGGTGCCGCCATGAAATCAACATGTGACTACGTAGTGGCGCTGGGTTTGATTTCTTTGTTGTGGAAAAGCATAACACACAAAGTAGAAAAAGACACGAGGGTAAAAAGACAAGAAAAACTTATCCTACCAGCTAGAATGTTGGATGCCGCGGCTGCGGCGACGACCCACGCTAGAAACCCGGACAGGAAAAAGCAACAAAGCCAGGCAGAGCCGCTCAGAATCATTCCCCGACGAGGCGGAGAGAATTGAAGAGTGATGGATGGCTACCTATGGCGTTGCCATGTGGCCTCGGTCACGTGGGTTCGTGACGTAAGGGGTAAAATAATCTTGAGGTCATAGGGCTTCCCCTGACCTAGATTCTATCTCTCCGTCACCGGCAGAATCGCTGATTAATGCCTACAGTTCAAAATAGTCATTTTGACTGACCGGAGTCTATGGTGGGTAATTGAACGTAGTGAATTCATAAATTACTGAAACGATATTCACTCAAAATTAGCTCCTGATTATTAATAAGTGATATCAAATATTATTCAACAGTGTAAAATCAAAGACAGGCAACTGTGGAAAACATAAAAAGGAATACAATGATGTTCTGTCTATTGCACAATAGAGTACATGCAATAGGTTTACCACACTTTCTCAAGTCGTTTATGTAACTTGTTTTTACAAACATGCTGTATCAAAGAAGACTAGTTCAGGGAGTACTGTTAACATATTGTTGCGTAGACTTGTTTTTGTTTAAAAATTGATGAATAAAGATATCGTATAAATATTTAATTGGCTTAAGTCATAAAGAAAACGTTCTGTCAACTGTCAGCTCCAAGCTGTTTTGTAACCTTTTTTTGAAAAAATCATGGTGTAACATTTTCTTGGACTTTGCGTATGATTGTTCTAATTTGTCTTTAAATATTTACCATAACCTTGCACATCGTGTGTTTAAAATCATGTCTGTACTCATAAGACTTTACAATATATTGCCAAAATCATTTTGATTTCTATTTTCAAGATTTTTCCTGACTTGAAAATTTATCACACACAAAATTGGTTTACAACATTTGAATAAAATGAACCAAATGGCCAATGAGCATACAAGAATTGTCATGGTTTGACAAATAATATGCAACAAATTGACTCCTAATTTGCTAAGCGTATTCACACCAACACATTTGATTGGCTGAAACAAACCAATTCATCACAGAGGTGATACAAATTATTTAAAACATGGCTGTCTGATGGTTATGGCACATAATTTCTTTATTTTATTAAGTCATATAATAATAATTTAATTTTTCCATTTTCTGACTGCGAGAGCCCAAAGATCTTAACAACCTTCATAGAAGATATCGTTCATGAGATCTCAAATAACCAGTTTAGTAAACCAAACCATCTCTGAGTGGTTATTGAAGTTTACAGGAGTTTATGAGATCTTTTAAAAGAGGTTGCTCAGATCAGAAAAAACTTAAAATCACACACACATAAAAAAGGAATAATTAAAAAAAAAATTAGATCTGATTTTAAATATGATTTACTAATATATATAACCTTCATTATATGTTTGATAGAAAAATCAAATGCATAAAAAAAAGAAACACTACCAGGGTTTATCAAGGTAATTTTGGGATGATTGAAATGCATTGAAAAACTATGACAGAGTCATTAAGAAAAACATATAATCATGCCCAGATCAAAACTTGCATGTCTAGCCACAAACTTGAATCTTGCACATAGCTCTTAAATTACATACCACTAATAACTCCGTCTTCACCAGGTATTCCTGGTGCAAAATGTATATGATTTCTACTCATCCTGGATAAGCCCTTTTAACAAGATAAAAATACATATATTAGAACCTGAAATAAAGGGACTTGACCTTTGAATTTGCATTCACTACCAGTAACTGTCCTTGAATCAAAATATGACACGTCAAAATAGAATAATCATTGCCAAATATTTAAATCCATTGTTCCCAACAATAAGAGCCAGCCTCAAACCAGCATCAACAATGTGCAAAAATTATTATTTTTTTGGTTATTAATAAGAACTACCGGTAAGTGTAATTTCACATCCAAATGTACTAATATTACATGATTAGAGAGCAGTGTATAATGATTGTATACCCAGTACTCATCAAACACATGTACTTACCACTTCACGGATTCTATCCAAGTACCTGCTATAAGTACCATGTATAACATTGGGATATTCTGATGCATCTGTGATTGGCTTTAAGTCTAGTCCTTCAACCTGAATTTTGGAAAAAAACCAAACCATTATAGCCACATGACAACCACAGTATTTGAATATAAATAATAATTACATACATGTAGTGGATGGCATTATTCAGCAGTCCTGGGTCATTTAAAAATATGCACAATTGATAACATTCAATATAATTTAAAATTTAAGGACAAATTTAAATTAATTTCCATATCAGTTAGACAATAAAATGTGTTTAAGTAATATATAGAGGGAATAATCATCAAGATAACGTAATAAATTGTAAAAACTTTCATAGAGTCACCTTAACAGTGTGTCCCTGGTTTGCACGTATCTGCAATAACTTACTCTCTGGATGGTTTCTGAGAGAAAATCGCTGTTTATCATTGTTTTTTACAACCCTTTCCACATCTTCAACTGTGTAACCACGAAAATGCTGATGATGTAACAAATCTTCAACATATAAAAATCCACCTAACAAATAAAAGGGAATAAATGAATCAATGACAGACATGATTATGAAATAATATTTTGATATGAAAGGTGGGTATGGTTGTAACCTTTATACTTGATGTATTTTTATGAAGGTATGCATTAATATCTTACATTCGAGATTGCATGGCACAGTCCCCATTAGTTATCAAATTTAAGATATATAGTTTTGTTTATAGTAATATAGCTGGAATATAACAATGTCAGGAATATGATTTTTTAACATTAAAATGATTGACATTTTTGTATCTGATCGTCAAACAAGTACTTGTCCATATTGAGAGATTTTGCTCTGGAACAGCATTCAAAATCAGCCATTTTGAATACATGTATATATATAACATGATGTATAACGAATATATAAAATTTAAATATAATAAGTCAAAGCATTTAAAAGATATGGCTCTAGAAGCCCAATCATTAAAACAAAATGGCCGCCAGTCAGCTATTTTGAATCCAATCTGAAAAATAAAATGACGAGCATCAGGAACATGTAATGTCTAATGTATGTACCAAGTTTGAATGAAAACTACCTATAAATGCTTGATATTTGATGATTTTTTAGCACAAAAATGACCACCATTCGGCCATTTTGAATAGGATAGTCAAACCAATATATCTGTTTATCTATGAGATGATGTATAACGAATATTTAAAATTTGAAAATATTATCAGTCAAAACAAGTTGGAGATATGGGTCTAGAAGCCCATTCATTAAAACAAAATGGCCGCCAGACAGCCATTTTGAATCCGATCTGAAAAATAAATGATATGCATCAGGAACCTGTAATGTCTAATATATGTACCAAGTTTGACCAAAATCCATCCATAAATGCCGAGAAATGCTTGAAATTTGATGATTGTTTAGCACAAAAAGGCCACCATTTGGCCATTTTGAATAGGATCGTCAAACCAATATATCTGTCTATCTATGACATGATGTATAATGAATATTTAAAATTTGAACATAATCAGTGAAAGCAAGTCAGAGATATGGCACGAAAACCACATTCATTAATACAAAATGGCCGCCAGTCAGCCATCTTGAATCAGATCGTAAAACAAAATAATGTGCATCAAGATCCTATAATGTCTAATATATATATATATACCAAGTTTGAACAAAATCCATTTTTAGCACAAAAATGGCCGCCATTCGGCCATCTTGAATGTATAATATCATGTATGATGTATGTGTGAAGTTTGATTGTGATTGGTCCAGGTATTTCTAAGATACAGGTCCGGACGCACGCACGCATGCACGCACGGACATCAAAACATAAGTCTCCGTTTTCGGACTGCGTCCGAACGGGGACTAAGAAACAAAGATTAAAATACATTGAATAAAAATTTATAAAAGTTATAAACTCAGACAAGAACTGAAACATAATACAGTACTGTAAAATACTTGGAATTAATTTTTGCTGAAGGAATGATTCAGTGAAAATAAAATCCAGTGAATATACCTTTTTTCCTATATTTTACATTCAATTTTAATTTTACATTCAAAATAAATTCCATGCAAAACACTCAAAAAGTCTTTTCAGCGAAATGTTATGCGAAAAGCATTATGTTCTGGGCATGGTATAAATACATAGGAATATTGCACTGTTAAGTGGCGATGAAAAGTCAATACTATTGTGTCCACCCTGGTTTTATCTATAGTTTTCCATTGAATTGTAAATTCTAATAGTCCATGTGTTCTGTAATTAATTTCGGAAATGACATGACATGGAAATGGCTTTCTTGATCATCTATTAACACAAAAGCGTTCACACTTGAATTACCACATAACTAAAAAAAATTAATAAATATGTACCTTCATCAAATCGAAATCCAAATTTTTCGGCTTTGTGCCTCAAAATATTTGATAAGCTCTTGCTGAGTCTTACATCTGGATCATCCTACAAAAAAATATATTACAATGTAGACTTACAATGTACGGAACAACATCAGCGATATGTTAAGACATAGTTTCAAAATGAGCATCAACCTGAACATGGGCCTTGTCACTCGCATTTGGATGAATTTTGGTGTCACCTCCATCGTGCATAAAATCACCCACGTTATTTCTTCTTTAGGAAGAATGTCATTTTTGTCTCCTTCTTACAGCAAGTCTCAGAAATATTGGGGGAGCCAATTTGCAAACTCGCTAGCAAATTGGCTAACTGCTTGGGTTTTGACTAAACAGTTGGCTTTCGAATCTTGGTGGCGCCAACTCATGGTCACATCCACTCTGGGCGAGTCTAAGTTGCATTAAGGGACTCACTGGTAGAATGCTTTTACGTAGCCTGGTAGGTACATGTCTAGATTCCCCTGAATGATTTGCTTTGTTACGAAGCGTGATAATGTAAAAATAGTTTCCCTGGTAAGCCTAGGAATGGCCACAGTCAGCTGGCATAAAGCGATAATATGATAAATGTGACTAATCCTTTGATATTTACTATATGGGGGTAGCCATCTTGAACACTGCTTGAAACTAAATAAAGAGACAAGTTGATAAACAGTTTCCTACAAATCAGGAAGAAAATGACAAACTTTCCCATCTAAATGATCCGTTGGGGTAAAATTAGCCAACCGCTAAAAAAAATCGACCTCATTCGTCGTTTTTGCATGGTAAATACCTCATTTCACACAGAACACTTTCCCTGGTATATTTGAAAGCAAAATCGTCACCCAACTGTGGTTGATTAGCTCCTAAAGTATGACAACCGTCCCCAGCTGTTATATAGATTCGCCCAGAGTGGGCATGACTACAAGGCGGCGCCAGTGAGATTCGAAAGCCAACTGCTTAGTCAAAACCCAAGCAGTTTGCTGGCGAGTTTGCAAATTGGCTGCCCCAATACTTCTGAGACTTGATGTAATTTTATTTGAAAGAAATAAAATATTTGCTAAAAATGTATATTATCAAATTTCAATAATTTTGCCTAGATTCATGTTTGTTTGGTTTTTTTAATATCTCCCTCTAGGGATTTCAAAAAATAATAAAAAAACCTTGAATTAGCATTCCAAGTAAAATAAGATTTTGATCAGAATTTTGAATTTCACACATATATGAGGTGGTTATTACAATCTTGTCTGTTGAGAATCTAGATATTAAATAATGAATAAGAATTCAGGGCGGATACCAGATCTGACTTAATCAGGATATATTTGATTAAATGTTGAGGTATGTATTAACACTAATAACAGTCGTATAAAACAAGGAAAAAGTAAAAAAAAAAAAGTTATACTGGATAATGAAAATAATGTATCAGGTTCCAGCACTAACTAAATATCATATCTTATATATCTGGTTATCATGAAGATTGTGAGATATTGTAACCACAGACAGAAAGTGAAATTTTACTATTATCTTGAAAAATATAAATGCGAAATGTCAAAATCCTACTAGGCCAAACTTATGTGGTTTTACTTGGTTAATAATATACCTATTCCAAGTTTGAAAATAGTAAC